CTCTGAAGAGAGCAGTTTCCAACTCAGAAGCCAAAATCAGAGACAGACCACTTACCACAACTTGCAAGATCCGATCATTCTGGGCTGTGGGGGCTTCACTTAACATTTGTGTCAATGTCTGTATCAATGTCTTTCCAAGCAGAATAACAGAACCAAACATGGCAGCTATCCCAAATACCATTCCTATGCTGAACCTGCAGGAAGAACCAAGAGATACAACAATGACTGTATATCCTTGGGGTAGTTAACTGCTGAAATGCAGTCTAACTTAACAGATACTTCCAACAGGATATCCTCAATGCTGGTCCGTCTACCTGGGACAAAATCACAAAAGAATCAACAATCCCATAGAAAGGAAAACATTTGTATTTCTCTGTAAAGGAGTTATATAACAATGCAATACAAAATTATAGCCATTTGGGAGGCAGGGATTGGAATGTTGTATTATTCATCATATTATTATTTCTGTGCCACCTAGAACAGGAATAGTTTACTTAGAGTTGATCACAACACAGAAATTTACTAAATGCTTTTAAATAAAGGGGACCATATTCCTAAAATAAAGGATTTAAGAAAAATGAATTAAATACATTTTTCTTGTATTTGAAGCCATTTAAAATTAAATTTGAAAGTACAACAGTTCACAGTAGGCATAAGCATAAGTGGGAATTTTGGCACCTTGGCTGTGGTGGCAAACATTGAAGAGTCTTACCCCCTGTACACAAGCTGCATCTGCCAATATGAGCTACCTGTAGGCTGCCCCCATACCCTGAACTGGATCTGGCCTGCAAAGGGTCCCACAGTCTGGATCTGGGCTGGGGCCCCAGACAAGTTTGACACCCTTGATTTAAGCAATTAGGTAACTTAATAGCTTGCAAAGATATAATTAGCAGAAAACTATCAAAATATATAAATCAGAGATTCATTTTAAAACTAACAGGATGTGGGTATGGTGATATTCCTAATGACTGTCCAGAAAGGCCAAACCAGAATTCTGAAATTATACCATAGATAAAGAAATCTAGGCTTCCATCGTCCCCAATTGTAGAACTGACGGTTGAAGAGACCTGTTTGCCATCGCACATGAAAAGGAGAGACACTCAGCCCATATGACATCAGCCAGTCTTCATAGGATGCTTTCAGAGAACTAGAGGACTGTAAAAAAGCAATAAAGATTTAGTTTGGAGCGTTTAGGAAGAGTGTATGTTATGAAGTTCAGTAGAACAGAGTACTACATGCAATTGTACGCACAGACATATTCATACGTAAACTACATAAAAATAAAGGTAAAACAGATTTTATGTAAAAGCCTAATTTGTAGAAACTACAAAACCATGTAATAAGGTTGTGTGACCCGACTCCTGTGTACTCACTGGACTCTTTAATCATCATCTTTCTATAAATGTACTGTAAGGACAAAAGCTACAAGTTTTTAATAGACAGTAAACTGTTAAAAAACAAAACAATTTTAAATTTATGTACCAAGAAAATAACAAAGCCAGAATAACTTTTTGGCCATCTTTATTTTACATAACCATTATACAATGTCGTAGCATATATGTAATACTATGAAGTTATACAAGCATTTTGATTTCATTCCATATTTATCCAATTTTAAAAGAATCATAGGGTTCAGAATTTGACAGACAAGATTCTCAGTTAAAAAATACTCATGATTTTATATAAAGATGGGGACTGGAGGAGACCAGGTGATTAGAAAGGTTTAAACATTCTGCTTATTTTGTGTAATGTTTATTTGTTATCTTCTAGTTTCCTCTGAAGCTGTCCTCTCATCCTCCTGATATACCTCAGTTACATCAATGACATCTTCATAAACATTAAATAAATTTCACCAAGACTTTAACAGGTTCCACCCCTTCACCAAACTAACACTGTTTTTTAGACTCAAGGCACTCCTCAACAGATTTAAAACATACCTTGATAGACCTGAAGCACCCTTCGGAAAATGCCAGTCCCTAGTTTTCACTCTTTTTTTTTTTTACTACAGAAAAATAACAGAACAGTTCTTCTGTTGAAAACAACTCAGAAAGACCCCCAAAAGGCAGTATGTTCTTAACACAATGGAGTCTTGTTTGAAAACTCTGCTTTTGTCTTGGGAATTACGTTTGCATACCTAGCAGGGATAACACTGAGTGACAATCCACAGCACACTTGAAAACACCTAGCAGCACCCTGGTGGAGAACCACAGTCCTAGACACTACCACTTCACCACCACATTGTATCGGAAACCAACCAACCGCCACTGCTACCTTCACACCACCAGCTTTCACCCTAAGCACACTGCTAGATTCACTGTGTACAACCAGATCTACGCTGATCCCAGTGACAAAAATGAACACCTTAAAGATCTGGAGCAGGGATTTCTAATTACAATACAATCCCAAAACTGTGCCTACTCAAATCAACAAGGCCGGATTCAGACCTCTCTGCAACTTGTTACAATACCAACCCCAGAACAAGGACAACAGAATGGTTCTGGTTGCCACCTACATCCCCCAGCTTGAACACCCAAGACACCATTAATAACCTCCAACCCCACCTGGAGAAGGATGACCATTTCAAGTAGCCATTGAGGACAAACCCATCCTGGCTTACAGACAGCGCACCCCCCCGGCAACACCTCAAACAGCATCTCTCACCTACAGATGGACTAACTCCCATCCTCACTGAGGTACCAGGCCTTGCATTGGACTGAAATGCCTATTGTGTCCCCACGTCAACACAAACCACATCACTGGACCAAATAACAAGGTGTACAACATCCAAGGTTCATTCATGTGCAACTTGACCAACATCACATATGCCAACACCTGCTTACAATGCCCATCTGCTGTCGACATCAGATGAGACGAAATTAACAAAAAAGTGTAAGAATGAATGAAAATCAATCTGACATCAACTGCAGAAAGACACACAAGTTTATGGCAGAATATTTCAGCCTCCCTGGATGCTTCATTGCTGACCCCAAGACTGCTGTTCGCAGGCAGAATTTTTTTTTTAAGTTTGAATGGGAAACTGTATAACAAATCATACACAAATTGGACTATGTTAAGTATAGTTTAAACAGGAACAACCAATTCTTATCCCATTACCCAGATTAGCCAGATTAGCTTTTACAACCCCTTTGTTCCTATGGGTTCTTTGTTTGTATGCCTCTGTCAGCATTCCCGTGCCCCTTCCTCTTGCTTTCTCACCTATTCTATTCTAATCACTCACTCCCCTTTATACTTTGCTCTATGCTGTCCTTTCACAGCATCTGATGACTTTAATTTGGGTTCACAAAATCTTGGGCTATATATCATATTTAGTTAGTCTACAAAGGTATATATCTACCCTCCCTTCTGACTTCAGACTAACACAACTAACTACCTCTGTGTTCATGAGTCATTTATGCAATTGCCTCAAAACATTTTGAGTTCCTTTGTTCTTTGCTGATGGATGAGCAACATGAAAGGATAGAAGAGAAATGATGGCTGTTCACAGGCCTCCTAGGCCAATTCCCCAATCCAGTAACTGAACACAGGCAGACAGTCAGAAGTCCCGGTGATCTTTTAGAAAGGTTCACCCACCTGGATTCAAGTACAGGGACAGAGCCCAAAAGTGTATGCAAAAAAGTGCATCTAAGTGGGTCATAAGATGAAACAGTCTGGTGGCTTCTCTTTTTGTGACCTGATGTAGAAACAATGGGGAGCTTTATTTCTTGTAACTAAGCCCCTCTAATTAAAAACATCTCATACTTCAGATAGAATCTCAATTTTGTTTTTCAATGTTTGTTCTACAGCTGGTCAGATAAATACAGTGAGTTTAGCCATATCTTTCTATAGCACATTTGGCAAAATACTGCTTTCACCAAGTTCCTTTTTTTCGAACAAGCAGCAAAGGGATTTCTACATCTTCTACATATTTACTTTACTATTTGTCCCTGCATATGGCACCACATCACAACAGAATGGCTGTCACACTGAAACAAACGAGGCTTCTTTGGGGTGGGCACCACCAATCCCAACTCTAGGGCTGCGATTTGTGCTCTGAAAAAAATAAGGTGGGTGAGATGCAGTATTGCATTTTACTTTCCATGCTTCTAGCCTCAGGAGAATCAGGTTGGGGGTGGAGGGAGGATGCGCATGGGCAGATGTAGGATTTTGAGAAGGGGGGTGTGGTGCATTATCAGTTTATAACATAACACATTTTCCCCACTTAAAGGGACACTACAAGCTTTATAAATATGCTGGGGGCCCTAGCACTATATTATTCAGTTGAACATCAATGCAAACACAAATACAACTTTATTGTAATAGTCACTAACTTGCTATTATATGACTTAAAAGTTTTTAAAAGAAATGAAAAACTAGGCAAAAAAGGGTCAAAACAGTCAAAAGACACTGGGTCAATAGCCCCCAGTCATTCATTCAGTAGTCATTAGAGTTAAATGTACGTGTCTCATTCAGATTGACAAAACATCTAGTCTTCTCAAGTGCCTTGACACTGCCTCCAATACTGCACTGTTGGTCACTTCTACACCTGAGCTAATATTACCCCAGCAGAGTTAAAGTTTTGAGCTAGAGCTGAAAGCAGTCAGCAGGGCTGGGAAATAGAAGAGAGACATCACCAGGAAGGACTAAGGGACTGTAGCACTGCAAAAGAAAAGAGTTTGTATAGCTGACCATCGAGGGGGAGAGGGTTGTTAACACCCATGCCAGGCAAAGACATCAGCAGGAATCAGGAAGATGAACTGATAATGAGCCATGGAGTCAACTGCTCCTGTCACCACTTAGCACTGCCCAAATAGAAAAACTGTTACTATTGCTGAGGGGCAGTCGATTTAAAGCAGGGGTGGGCAAAACGGTGGATCCAGCCAGTGGCCGGATTCCATTTTCCAGCAGCCCCTGCTCACGTGATTGGGACTGGTTTCCGTGAAGACCCCAGCAAGAGCTGCACTGTGGTAGCCAGGAGGCCAGGGTTTCCATGGAGACCAGCCCCAGCAGCACTGGCAGGGTGCAGAGATGCTCCGGAGCCCAGCTGGGATCTTGTGGTGGTGACAGCGTGGTCCAGAGCCAGGGCAGAGCCACAATCTGCAGCCTGCATGCCCTAGGCAGAGACGTGCAGGCAGCAGATCACAGCTCTGCCCTGGGTCCTTGCAGTGGTGACAGTGTGGTCCAGAACCAGGACAGACACAGATACCCCAAAGTTCCCTCTAGCCCCACCCCACCGTAGCCACCCCTCCCAGCAGCACTGCCACCACTGCTGCCCACCCTGTATAGGTGGCAGCAGCTGAGCCCGCCCCACTTCCGCTCACAGCATAGCCCCCACTCCAGGAAGAGGATGGCGCTGCTGCTGCCTGCCAGTGCTGCTAGGGCTGGTCTCCATGGAAACCTCAACCCAGTGCTATGATAGAGCAGCTGCTGCTGGGGTCTCCACGGAAACTATCCCCAGCCATGCAGGCAGCTGTTGGGAAATGGAGTCCACTGCCAGCCAGATCCAGCCTGCAGGCCAGACTTTGCCCGCCCCTGACTTAAAGTGTGGGTGGATCAGGAATCAAAGGGAAGGGGGAGTGCTACTGCCCCACTGCACCTTCCTCTGCAGCAACCACTGAAAGCCTTGAAAGCCAGAGGAACAAGTCAGCTAGGGTTACCATACACCTGGGTTTTCCCAAACATGTCCCTTTTTTGGGTCCTCCCACCTCCATCTGGGCAGTTTTTTACAATATCAAAAAATGTCTGAAATTTTGCTCTGCCTCTGCTCAGCACTTAAGTTTTTCCTGGCACTTCCCAGCTTGCCCTGTCAAGGAGCTGCTTGGCACTGGGTGGAGCAGGGGTTGGGGGAAGGATGGTTGGAGGCAGGGCACACACAGAGCTGAGGCTGCAGCAGGGCAAGGAAAGCACAGGAGGCACCTACCCCTCCAGTGGGGGAAGAGGCTGGGGGCCCCTTCGAGGGCAGCGTGGCCTGGTTGGCAGCACTGGGGCCGGTGCCTGTGCTCACCGGGGGTAGCAGCTGGGAGACTCTGCAAGGCTGGGGGCAGCAGGTCAGGAGTGAGGAACGCTGGCAGGGCTGTGGCTTGGCAGTCTGGGGCACCAGGGGGAGTGGGGGGCTGTGGGTTAGGGCACAGAAAATGCCAGGGCACTACAGGTTGGGAGTGGGGGGGTATCAACAAGGATGGGGGAAGGGAGGCGGGCTGCAGGCTGGGAATGAGGGGCACTGCAGGTCAGGAATGAGAAGCAGCAGCAGGGCTGTGGGGGGGGGGGCTGTGGTGTGGGAGTGAGGGGCAGGGCACGGGCATATCACTGGCCCCATCACCGATAGGCATCCTCTTCTTTGCCACTGGAAATCTGGTAACCCTGAAGCCAGGTCCAGGGCATCTGATGAAAGGCACCTGACTCCACCTGGGTCAGGCACCTGGAAAGGGGGGCGCAGCAGCCGCGTCTGCGGGGGGATCCTGCTCCCTCCCCCTGTGCAGCAGCGGGGGGAGGGGCGTTCCAAAGCTTCAGCGGCTGCTCAACAGCTCCGAACGCGCAACGGCCGCCGCCAACCGCCTGGCGGGAGGCCGGGCCGGGGGGAGGGGCCAGCGGCTCCTGCGGCCCTCACCTTCAGCAGCGTGTCTGCCAGGTAGATGACGCACCAGCCGCCGAGCACGCACACCGCCACAGGGATCGGAATCATCGCGGCTCCGGCTGCACAGCTACCCCCGGAACTGAAACTCTCCGAGAACCTTCCTCCAGCAGTTAGGTTTTCCGAGAGGATACTTCCGGCAGCGGCCAGGAAGGGGGGGGAGGAGGGAAGACAGCGACGGTACGGCTTCCGGCTCTTATGACGTCATTTCACCGCGCGCCAAGCAAGGACTGGGATTCGCAGGCCGAGACCGTCATAGGTGCGCATGTGCCTTCTGCCGGCGAGAGCAGGGGCGGCCGCAAGGTCAAGCCGCATTGCTAGGCGCCCATGCGCAGTAGCCAGAAGAAGCTAGGCATCCCTGCCCCCCCTTCCCTCGAGGCTCCTGATTGGTGGAAAAATCCCGGGTAAATTTAAAAAGTAGCGCAGGCGCCCTATGGGCCCGGTCTTCTTGCGTATGCGTTGCTGAGTGGGGTGGTCTGGGCTGGTTTCCTGCTTAGCAGGGGAAGATGTTTGTGCCATGTGCTTTGGTGGCGTCTGAACAAATCTTGCATCACTCCTTCCTAATCATTATGAATAATACATTTATATTTATAAATGGTGACTACATTTTATTTGGGTTGTCATTTTGAGCATGCTTCACGGGAGCTGCTGCTACGTGGCAACGCAGCACGAATACCCATGGGGCAGTACACTCGCTAGGGTGGCCATCATAGAAAACAGTCCGGTTGTCCTGTGCCCTCTATTGATAGAAAACCCGATGCCTTTATAGAGGACATAAGGATGTTGGGTTTCGTAGCAATAGAGGACAGAGTAGCAGAAAACCAGAATGTCCTCTATGGTGGCCACCCTAGTGCTCACCCCTTGGTACTGCCTTTGAGTCCCCCTGTACTTCAAACTACCCCCTGAGGAGGCTGCAGCAGGGCTGCCCTCTGCCTTCTGTATGTCAGGGCTTGGGGGGCCATAGCCACCACAACATTTGCCTTAGACCCCAATAGCCATCCTTCTAGCATCACTCGTGTCCAAGCCTGCCACCCACCCCACACAGCTGAGCCTGCCCCGCTGCTACCCACAGAAGCTCAGCACCTTAAGTGGGTGTTGTTGAAAAAACAAGTATGTTTGGAGAAGATGTATAGCAGAGCCCCCCAGCTTTGTCTAGTGCCCCCCCCCACACACACACACTAGGAAGAGGCCTCCCACTGCCAACAAGACCCCTCAGTCCAGCTGCTTTAGGCCTGAGATTGTAGAGAAGCAGGGCTGGAAGCAATCTAAAGCAACCTGTGGCCTGAGATGGGATCATCCCTGTGCAAACCATCCTATACAAATCCATTGTCTCACCTCTTAGCAAGGCTACGCAGTCAACCCTGACACAACACAAGACATAACAGCGTGAACTGCCACAGGTAAAGCAGGTAAGACTAAAACTAACAGAAGGCAGTTCTTGTTCACACCAGGTGTCATCCTCCTGGGAAACCCATTGCTGCCAGAGGTGGTGGAAGCTGGCAGTTTAGCCAGGTTAAAAAGGGATTGGACAAATTTTTGGAGGAAAGGGGCATCAGGAGCTATTGAACATGGGAAACTTTGTAGATCTTGAATGCTGGAGGCTGCAAGTGACAAAGGAACAGTGGGAGGAAAAAAACCCCTACCCTGTCATATGCTGTTCACTCTCCCTTCAGCATCCCTTCTGCTTCACTGTGCACCATAGGCCTATTGGATGTGCCAAGAGTCATGGGTTTGGCCCATTACAAAATCTACAAGCATTCCTTAATATAGGAGGCCCCTGGGGCAAATAACTAATTATTTGGGGCAACATAAAAGAAAGTGAGGTCACAGATTAATAACATGGAATTTGGAAGAGGACGCTAAACAAATCACACCGGCCAGTGCCCACTGCCCATGGAAGCAGTTGAGGGAGCCTGTGGATGCCAGCAAGTGAAACTGTGCCTGGAGACATGAGCATTGGAGTGGCGGGAAGACAGCCCCACACTCACCTGGGTTACCCTTGACCAGAGTCTTCTTCCTGGTCTTATAGATGGCCAGCTTGGCCACGGCCAGGAAGAGGTTGACCAGGAGGTCCCAGGACTTGCTGGGGCTGCAGACAGGAAGACCATAACAAAAAAGATGTGGGGTGCTTCTGAAGGAGGTGGAAGAGGGGCTGCAACCTGGTACACTCAAGGTAGGCGTGCGCCAGGGTCTCCCTCTGTTGGCATAAGGGGCAGGTGTAATAAGTGTCCGTAAAAGGTATCAGATGTATGCCCGTGGCGACAGCTCCATGTAAGAGCCGCCAGCTGAGGTCTCCTATGGCTTATGGGATCAAAGTGGAGTACAAACTAGTCCAACAGGGACCCTTGTCTAGGGTGTCCCACCACTTGTTGTCAAGGACAGAATAATGGACTGTGTGGAGCATGACTATGTAGAGCTGGCAGCAATGGGCTGTTCAGAGGCGGACTGGCTTGGTATTCCCCAGTTGCTGAGATGGTGGGGCAGGGAGCACCATGGGGCTTGCCAAGGCAGGTATCAGCGGCCCCACAACTACTTCCAGAGGGCTGGGGGATACTGGGGAGAAGGGGGAGGTGGGGAAATGCCCTTGTGCAGGACCTGATTAATGTAGGTGAAGGCAGCAGGGCAGCTTTTACCTTCTGGAGTATGCAGGAGGCAGCATACATCTCCCTGCTCTGGGCCACTGCAGAGGGATCCATCCATCACTGCCTAGCATAGTCCAGGAGGTCTCTGGCATGAGTGATGTTTGCTGGGACCATCCTCTGGTATACCCAGGGCACCTCCGTCACCGGAACCACCAGCTGCAGGATTTTCAGTGGAGGCTCAGCGCAGAGGTCAGCACACTTGCTTGTGGAGATCTTGCAGGTAGAAGAGCTGCCAACCATACCAGAAACCTTGGAGACAGCAGAGGAAGGCGCAGCCGATCAGACACCATGTTGCCTGGTTACCAGCACTGTCGAGGAGCTTTTGCAGGGCCTGAAGGCAGAAGCTGTGGACCTGGCTGCAGAAGCAGGTCAGGCCTTGCTTGCCCTCCCACAACGGGAGGCTCAGGACACCTGTAGAAACCCATTGCTGTTCCAAACAGAAAACCACAAAGCCCATCTCTGAAGGCTGGCCAGGAGTTCTGAGGGCCTGGCCAGGGTGTTGAAGAGGTGCCAGAGCATGGACAGGACATACAAGTTGATGACCAGCATCTTCCCACAAAGGGAGAGACAAAGCAGCAGGCCTGCCCATGCCTGCAGCTGCTCAGACACCTTGACCTCCAGCTGGTGCCAGTTCCCCAGTGGGGAGTGGTGACCAAGGGACAAGTACACCCCCAGATAGAGCAGCAAGCCTGCACTCTGCTGGATGTGCTGCAGCATAGGTGGGAGTGAGCTCATTTACCACCCATTGTCAGGCCACAGCTCTTGACCCAGTTGACCTGGGCAGAGGGAGCTGCTGAGTAGATGGACTGACTAGCAGGCAAGTGATGAAATGAAAAACATGAAAGAAGCCACTGGGGAAGGTACTTCCAGCACAATTTACAGAGATCCCTATTGATAAAGTGAGCTTCAGCCCACAAAAGCTTGAGCTAGATGCCTAGTCTACCCTGCCTTCTACATGCCAGGTGAAAGCCAGGATGGGCAGATTTTGCAAGTATTCCAAAACACAATATTTTTTTCTTTAACATAAAGGCACAGATACAGACAAAACATACACATTACTGCTTTCTCCTGCAAGGAGGCTCCATCCTTCCATCTCAGGCCTTGGGGGTGGGTTTGGAGGTAGTAGCATGGAGTCATCTTCTGGTTTCAGGCTAGTGACCAGAGGTCCAAGGGCTCTCAGCACTACTCGTTCTTCCAGCGTGGGCTTACATTGTGGCAGGGAGGGAGAATGGAGGAGCAGAAAAGAGCTGACAGGAGGGGTGGGGGCATGAAGAAGCAGAGCTGGGCTGTTTCTCCCCTTCCCAGACACTCACTAGAGTTGTGGTTCTCAAGCTTTTTAGCCCTAAGACACGCTCAGAAATGCCCTTTGTAAGCTGTCACTCAATTTTTGATTATGGAAAAATACTAGAGCAATTTTGTTGTAAGGAATTCAGAAAAGCCACTACAGTTCAAAATGTTTTTCACATTATGGGCTCCTAGTTGAACTCTCTGGTTTTATCTTCTGAATCTTGTAGGTGTTTACACATCTAAAAACACTAATATTCCTTTGCACTCTTAAAATAATTTTACTGCACCCTGCTTGACAATCACTGCACTAGAGGGCATCCTTTTGAAACTGGCTCCAGCCCTAGCCAAATTCATGTGACAAAAGATGTCTTTGGTTTCCTTGTTCTTTCTCCGAAGAAATTGTACTGCTTTAAGCCTCAGCAGAAAAGCTGTAGAAAACTGGTTTTCCCTACATTTGCCGACACACTTCCACTTGAATAGGCTGCCATTTGGGATAATGATGATCATTACCAGCCCTGTATCATCATCCTTTGGTATTTGAGTCTATATGGAAACAATAAAAAAGTAGAAATCCTGTCCCTCATTCAAAATGGAATTTGCATTTGACACACATAAATATAGACAATCTCTGATATCAAACAGTTCATAAATTGTACATAGACAAAAACCCAAGATCATTATATCTAGCCTCTGGATTTTTCGCACATGCTCTGTTGAACACCAGCTTCACTGAGCAATGATCCACATATGGCTATATTTGACTGCATACACATTTAATGATTAAAAGGAAATTCTAGCACCTCATGCAAGAAAATGCATCTAGCTTAAATATAAATGATATATTCCAAGGCCAGTCACTGGATATAACTTTAAATGTATAGGCTCATCTCCTGCAAATAGTTATGCCCATGAATAATTTTACTTATATGAGGAATCCTGCTGACATCAATCACAGTAAATAACTGTGCCTGCTATAATAAATGTGCAGAACTGGCTCCATAAATGACTCAGATGAACTTTACTTCTGTTTAATGTTCGCTTTGTGTAGAATATCGTTTGTGAAACTAGCATGGAACACTGGCAGCACAAATCAAAAAGAATATAGATTAAGTATGTTTATAGAAAGAAGGACCTTGCAGACAAAAACACAGTCTTCAACAGAGAATTGTTTTCTATAACGCAGAAAGCAAGTTTTGCTCTTTTGTTTTGTCTGGTTTTTTGTATCACTTTTTGAGTAAACTAAGTGCTGAACCTGATTTTCTCCTCTTAGGCAAAACTCCTATTGACTTCAGTGGGTATATCCCTTATTGTCACAGTATACCAGACTGTCCTAAAAGGTTATTATAGAAAATAGTTCTTATATTTTCCATTTTAAGTGTCAGTGAGCATGTCTACACATGCATTAACACATTTTAGTTAATGTGCATTAACTCTAGTACTTCTGCTCATTTGTATACATTTGCACCACAGCACTGGGTGCTTTTAAAAGT